TATCTATCTATCTATCTATCTATCTATCTATCTATCTATCTATCTATCTATCTATCTATCTATCTATCTATCTATCTATCTATCTATCTATCTATCTATCTATCTATCTATCTATCTATCTGTTCCTCTCAGTTTATTTACCCTTGTCGTTCTGTACCACTAAGTCAGTCCCGATTCACACCACCATTGAATAAGGGTTTCAAGTGACCTGAATGAGTGGGGTTTGAACCCAAGGTCTCCGAAACCCATGTCTGGTGCTCACTCCGCTCCCGGACTGCCTGGCTGATTCTGCATCTCCACCTTTTCCCAGCCATGGCCTCTGGTGGAAAAGGACACCTTTCTGTGTCTGTCTGGCGGGAGAAATACCCGTTGCACTGATCCTCCCCGAGGCCTGTTTGGTCTTTTAGCATTTTTATTTTTCAGTATTTTCCATGGCACGTGCAGGCACAAACGCCAAAGGGATAGATGAGAGGAGGAACATCCTTAAAGCTGGCTAGGCCTTCCTTGGTCCTGGTCAGTTTCACGAGAAGAGGTGTCTCTATCTCTCCCATAACCCAGCCATCAGCTCACTTACAGGTCTGTAGGAACATGCCTTGGGACTACATCTCCCAGGATTCCCTTGGCAGCAGCTCCCTGGGGGATTCTGGTTGGTGTTGTCCCAAAACAAATCATAAATCTGCACATCTTTACGTATTCCTGCTTTAACTATTGTCCTCCGCCTTTTCCCAACTCAAGAGGCTGGAGAAAGGTATTTTGGCTTTGGAGGTTGAAATCACAAACTGGCCATAAATAGGATTTTGAACCCAGGTCTTTTGAGTCTGAGCAGTCTGTTAGTGTTGTGATCCAACATCCTTATTTTATCCGATCTAAAGCATGAAAGCACCAAGCCGTTCCCCCCTCCCAGATTTTATTTATTAAAAGGGGGGGAAAGCCCCAAATAGAAATTAAATTTAGTTTGTAAACAAGGAACTCTCTTAGCCCCAAACAAAAATGGCGGCCCCAATTTCTCAGTAGCAGAGGGGAAAGGCTTAGATTAGAACCAGAAACAAAGATGGTGCAGCCTACATTAGCCCCCTTGAAAAGCAGGGGGGAATATGACCAGAAACAAATATGGCGCCGCTGCTTTTAAAATGAAGTCTCCGCGAGCCAAAAACAAAGATGGCTCGAGCTGCCTCCGTCCCCTTTAAAGGTAGGGAAACCTGACCAAAAACAAATATGGCGCCTCTACTAGTAAAACGGTGGTTCCCCGCCTGGACTGCAACTCCCAGAAGTCTCAACCAACGGTGAAGGCTTCTGGGAATTGCAGTCCAGAAGCACTATTAAAATAAAGACGCCATAAGGCCAGGAACCAAGATGGCGTCCCCATTGGACAAAAGGGCTTCGTGCCAGGAACCAAGAAGGCGCCCGACCCGGAAGGGGAAAAGGGGGGGGAAGCATTCCGCTTGAGCCAAGTGCGCTGCTCCGTCTACTCCCCTTCCTTCCGGCCCTAAACCGGAAGTTAGAACTAGGAAGTCGAGGGGGGGAAGACTTTATTGACAAATCAATGAAATAAATAAAAGGCGAAGAAGAACAAGAGGGGATGTCGGTGAATTACGCGGCCGGGCTGTCCCCTTACTCGGACAAAGGGAAATGCGGCCTTCCTGAGGTGAGGGAGGGGCGAAGGCCCCGCCTTCCCGTTGCCAGCGTTGCCGTGGATACCAGTACCCCCCATAAGTGGGGGGTGGGGGTGGGTCGAAAACCTGGCCAAAATCCGCGCCTTGCTTATCCCTAAATATGTGAGCGGAGGGGAAGCCAGAGAGTCGTTGCTCTTATTGTTGTTCTTATTATTATTGCTTTAATAAAGCTGATCAATTAAGTTGCAGTCCTGCGCTTTCGTGGGAGAAAGGCCCCCCCTTCCCTCTTTCCAGGAGCGTTCTGTGCATTTGTTTTTAACCACCATTTCCCCAAAAATATGCTTTTCCCCTCCCTCATCCCCCCAAAAAAGATTGCCGGTGGGCCCTTCATCTCCCATCGGTGCCTAGCTGGGAGATGGCTGGGGGGCTTTGTAGTTCGTGGCTACCCCTTAGCAGGGGGAGGGGGAGGCCCAGAAAGTGGGGTGAGTCAAGGGAAGGGAGGAAGTACATCAAAAGAGAATAGGATCCTTCTGTCTCTCTCCTTCCCATCCTGCTCTTTTAATTCAGTTCTTGGACCCTCCCGAGGAGCTGGAGGAGAAAACCCGCCGGCTTGCGGACATGATCCGAGAAGCGGCCAACATCGTGTTTCACACGGGGGCTGGCATCAGTACGGCGTCGGGGATCCCGGACTTCAGGTGAGCAAAGGAAATCTGGTGCCGCTCCAAAGTCAGTCCGCTGACCAGATCCTCCTCAAAAATGGCACCAAAGTGGCTTGATCCGTGGACCGGGCCAGGCCTTCATCCAGCCCTCCCCGCCCCCAGCCCCCAGCCGTATTTCCAGCACAGATTCAGAAAGGGGGATTTTTGGGTGGGAGGGGCAAAGTTTCCCCAAGTCCATCGGCTAGCCTTTCCATTCGGGGAGCTGCCGTGAGAAAAACCCTGACTTCCCCAAGCACTGTCTTAAGCCAATAAATGCACGTCTTACTTAAACTCTGATTAAATAATATAATAATAATAATAGTCTTAAAACAGCAGAGCTGGGACCCTCTGGATCATGCAGTACAACCCCTGACAAGGAGGTAAAGGTAGGATTCAAATTCCCAACCCCTGGCTCCGCTGCCAGATACCTTCATACCCATGTTCCGAAAAATGTGAGATATAAGACTCTAGGAGAGCAGCTGTTTAGCAGCTCATGTATTGGATGAAAAATTGGATTTAAAATCTGTTTCTCTCCTCGCAGAGGCCCAAACGGCGTCTGGACCATGGAAGAACGGGGCTTGGCGCCCAAGTTTGACACCACTTTTGAGAATGCTCGGCCGTCCAAAACCCACATGGCCCTTCTGGGGCTGCAGAGAGCAGGCATCCTGCAGTTCCTGGTCAGTCAGAACGTGGACGGTCTCCATGTGCGATCCGGCTTCCCCAGGTAAGAGACCTTCTGCCTTTTCACAGGTCTGAAGAAAAACAGTACAGCTATTAACAAAGGGTGCTGTTATGGGTTAGGTCTGTGTTCCTCTTTTCTTCCAATTAGGGATGTGCCTTTTTTTTCTCCCACCCCCTTATTATTACAGTAGGACCCTCAGGACCTGCGGGATCAATATTGGAGGTTTTTTACTTAATATTAAAAAAAAAACCCAACCTAAGGAATACATATTTCTACTATGTAGTTACCAGAACTGGCCGATAGAGGAAGGGAGAGACTATGCTATGGGGTTCACTACTATCTGCAATTTTCAGCATCCATGGGGGACTTGGTAGCAATCCCACGTGGCTACGAGGATCCTATTGTTTTGTGTTCTTATTATACATGACAGATGTATTCTCAGTTGTCCAAGAAATCATTTCTCCCCCTTCCCGTTTCGTCCCTCGGCAGAGACAAGCTGGCGGAGTTGCACGGGAACATGTTTGTGGAGGAATGCATGAAATGTGGCAAGTATGTGCCCCCTGCCTTCTTTTTCTGCTGCCCCTGATCCCTGCTCCAAGGGTGCCTTCTTCCATCAATGCTTCTCGGAGGGCCCTCAACCTCACAGGGTGTCCTTTGCTCTGTGTTTATGTTGTAGGCAGTATGTGAGGGACACTGTCGTAGGCACAATGGGGTTGAAGCCGACAGGGCGGCTGTGTGACGCTTCCAAACGCCGAGGGCTGCGCTCCTGCAGGTGTGTCCGCTGAGTCAGCTGAGAACTCCTCAGCTTATTTTGTGTGCTTATTATTATTATCGGGACATGGTGGCGCTGTGCGTTAAACGACAGAAGCTTTTGTGCTGCAAGGTCAGAAGACCAGCTATCATGAGATCGAATCCCCGCGACAGAGGGAGCTTCCGTCGTTTGTCTCAGCTCCTGCCAACCTAGCCGTTCGAAAGCGTGTAAAATGCGAGTAGATAAATAGGTACCACCTTGGTGGGAAGGTCATGACGTTCCATGTCTAGTCGCGCTGGCCACGTGACCACGGAAACGGTCTTTGGACAAATGCTGGCTCTATGGCTTGGAGATGGGGATGAGCATCGTGCCCTAGAGTTGGACATGACTAGACTAAATGTCAAGGGGAACCTTTCCCTTTTCCTATTATTATTTAAATGATTGCCCTCTCTCCTCCATTCCTCCAAAACCGGCTCCTAGGGGCAGCTCAAAACCAGACTCCAAACGGTGGCGAAAAAGCCCAACCAGAAGTAATCCTACAAAAACATTAAGCAAATTCTCCTGTTTATCTGGAAGGTCGTTTTGGAGTTTTGCTGGCCATTGACTGTCCCTTTTATCTTACCACCACCCTCCTTCTCCTTTTGAAGGGGAAAGCTCATGGACACCATCTTAGACTGGGAAGATTCTCTGCCAGATCGGGATCTCAGCCTGGCAAGTGAAGCCAGCAGGTGAGCGCCATCCGTGGTTCCCCAAAACCTTTTCTTTTTCTGACGCAAAATGGATTTATTTGATTATTTTGACACTGATGGGCATAACAGTACCCATGACCAAATTTTAAAACAGCAAGACCTGAATTCAACAACTGGAAAACTCTAGGATCACTCGGTGAACAGAAAGCCAACGCTTGTGTAAATCATATTAACCCCTCTGAGTGGTTTACAATGCAAAAGAAAAGAATAATCAGATTTCATAAAACATAAACTTCAAAATACACTTCAGATATACAGTCAAATTTTAGAATACATTATGAAATATATTAAACATTTAGAATAGTCTGCTTTGCAATTGGTTTTCAACCTAAATGCTCATTTATCTATGATTGAGGTGGGTTTTTGGGTTTTTTTTGGGGGGTTGCCCATTTTGGAAGCACAATCTCATCATTGGTAATGTCCAGAAATAAAATGTTTTCCTCCTCCTCAGGAAAGCAGACCTTTCTGTCACGTTGGGAACCTCCCTTCAGATCAAGCCCAGTGGAGATCTTCCTTTGCTGACGAAGAAGAAAGGGGGAAAGCTTGTGATAGTGAATTTGCAGCCCACGAAACACGTGAGTTTCTTCCGGGCCCTGCCTTGCCTCGGTCTTCACACTCGTACATCATTTTAACACACACACAAACCAGTTACACCTGGTTGCAGAAACCACGTAGAGTCAGTCTTACAAATATAGGCATCTGAGTGTGTTACACCCTGTGCCAATCTAAATGTGTGTGTGTGGAGTAGACCCCACGGAAGCAAAGGAATTTAAGCTACTTACTGCTTCACAGTCAATTCAAGGGGTCCTCTCTGATTAGTATTAAATTAAGGCCAGGATCCCTGGTTTTCAATCATGTACGGGTTTATTTCCCCCCTACAAAGTCAAAACCACCCAGGACGTTATGAAAACCAAACCAGTATCCCAAGATCTGTCCCCCTTCTAGACGCCAAATACCACCATCCTTAGTACGTGTTTTTATTGTGTTGTGTTCGTGTCTCCTAGGATCTTTGCTCAGCCTCCCTCTGAACAAAATTTCAGTCTCTGGTGGGGCTGTTTCACACACATCCCAAAATATTTAACTTCTCCCTTCAGCCAAAAAAAGAAAGAATGAAAGAAAAAGGTTCTGAGTGTCTTAAATAAAGCAATTTTGGTGTGGGTTTTTTTGGGGGGGGAAACCATTTCTGATGGTAGGATTGCGCTCTGCCCATAACTCAGCACAAAAGGAGAAAAGAGCAAGGAGGGCAGAGAGGAAAAACAGCCGCCACATAAAGTTGCTCACCTTCTTTCAGGACAAGCACGCAGATCTGCGCATCCATGGTTATGTCGACGACATCATGGCAAAGCTCATGAAGCACCTTGGGGTGGAGATCCCTGAGTGGGCAAAGCCTGTGGTGGTGGAGAAGGCCGAGCCCCTCGACCTCAAGCCTTTGGCAAAACCCGGCACGAACTTTCAGCTCCCGAGCAAGGAGGAGCCCATCCCGCACTGTAACGGCACAGGGGGGAGCACAGATCTCGGGAGGTCTCCGAAGCATGGATCCAGCCATTCGGACACAAACTCCGGAATCGCCAAACGGCTAAAGCGGGAATCGCCACTGACCTGATCCATCCTTGTCTCCGTGCCCTCATTCATTCATGAGACCGAGGTAGGACTCGGCCGCTCCTTTTCCTCTGCCGTTTGCGTAGGACTTTTTACAAAGACGTTCGTTCCCTCCTTGCCCCCCCACACCTTTGTTTGATATTGGGGGGTTTGCCCCCCTCCCAGGAGATTTGATCTCATCTTTGCTCATTATACTCCAACAGCATTCCCAGCACCCAAACATCCACCTCTTATTTTCATTTTGAGTGTTTGGGGGATGGCATGTGGAGAGCCCAACACACACACACACACACACACCAATTTTACGTTAAAACCCCGACTTGTAGAGGACTTCAGGAGATGAGAAGTACTTGGAGAGGCTTCCGCCTGTGGGAATGCGCCTCATGACACACACCCCATTTTGGCTGCCCTATGCAAGCAGAAAAATAAAAACAAGAAGAGGGGTTTTGAGGGGTTCCTTGGCCAGCTTCTTGCCCAGCTTGCATACGGAGGTAAATCATGGTTTCCTGTTTTCAGAATTAGCTGAGTTAGCTCCTACCACACTCAGGGGTGCCTGCTCTTTTCCTACTTTCTTTCCATCCTCTTTCACAGACTGTATACTCAGGGCCACCCAATCTTTCTTTTATAAATGCCCCCGAGCTTCCTGGGACATCTGGATGTAGGGAGAAATGGTGGCTTGATGCACCACAAGAAGGATTCCTTTTTTAATAAAACTAAGCCACTCCTCACACTTCAAGCCATTAGGGCCTTGGAAAATGTATTATATACATATAGTACAGCAGGAGTCCCTTATCTGTGCTTTCACTTATCTACGGTCTTGAAAAGGTTAAAATATTAAAAGAATAAAACTAGAAATGTGTATTTACCAGAACTGGCCAGTAGGGGGAGCCAGAGCCCATGCTAGGTGGTATTGTTGGTGAAGAATGCCTAGCATGGTCTCCGGCTCTTTCTAGTGGTCAGTTCTGGTAATACATGATGAAAATACATTTTTCTGGGTTTATTTTCTTTTACCATGTTATGTATAGTACTTGCTATTATCTGCAGTTTTCAGCATCCATGGGAAGGGGAGCCTTGGAACCAATCCCCTATAGACATGGGGGAGGAGGCCGTACTGTATATTTTCATCACTTTCAGCGTTGCCCAGCCCCCCAAAATGACCCAAGTCTTTCTGACTCTTCCCTCGCCCACAATATCACCTGCACACCAACGCCCCTTCTTTGCAGCCTTAAGGTCTAGAAACTTGTGATTTAATGACAAGAAAAGACACTCAGGACACCCGGCACTCCATACTGTCTCTGCCCGCCTCCCGCGTGCAAAGATTAATTTAGCATTGTACATATGTACATATGTGTTATCTGATTCTTTTAGTAATGCCCTTTTATGCATGTTTGTTTTTAAACACACACACACACATAAAGAAAAATATTAAATATGGCTGCTTGATTTCTCCTTTCTGGTCCCAGAATAACATCTGTACATACTCAGAAGGCCACCTTCTGTGGGAAGGGGTCAGGGCAACCTAGCCATGGGTTTCAGAAGCCATGCAGGGCCTGGCTGCGGTGGTCAGAACCCATCTGTTGTCGGGAACAGGGGGTGAAGGCTGGAGATGCCAACGCAGACACACTATTTGAAGGGAAACCCTTCTGCAGCCTGTAAAAACAAGATTCATATATATTGCACTTGTGGTGGTGGTGGGGGAGAGCCCTCAAAAATTCAGAATTGGCTTCTGCAGATCTGACTTGTGAAGTTTTGTATCAACTCTTTGCTGGCCCGAGAATCAGATTTTCCTGCTTCGGCCAACTCTGCAGGGTGGCCATCGGCTCTTCCCGAGGGGGGGGGTTTGAGGAGGGCCAAGGGTTTTGTTAAAGCAAAGTGTGGGCGTGCACGGCTGGATTTTAGAACAGAACTGCTCTCCCCAGAGGTTCGATTCTGCCTTTGGGATTGCTTTTAAACGCTTGCATTAGAAATCCTCTTTCAGTCCATTAAAGTGCTTTTAAATCCGAGCATACCAGCTTGAACGACGGAACTGGGTACGTGGTGGCAAAGAAGCAGATGAAACACGCTCCTTTGTGCTTTTAATATTTAATGTTAACTTGAATAGTACATTTATACATGCGTTGGAAGAAGTTACAACAGTCAGGAACACTTTTTAAAAAAAACATGGTTGATGTTTTTAAAAAAGTGGACCATACCTAAATTCTCTAGAAACAGGCTGCTTCTACTCTGTAGCCACGCTTTTATGGCACTTTTTTTACATCAAATACCATCTTTTGCCCACATAAAAAGCCACGTGCAGTATGTTTATTCACTCATGCCTGGTTCCAGAAGATCGGTTAGTACAGAAGACCAGGGAAAACCCCATTTCATGCCACCCTCTTTGTGGATTGCCCATCTCCAAGCCCAGAAAGTTACATTTTTTGAAAGGAATTTAGTTTGCGATCATGTGACTGTCCCGAGACGGCAAAATAAGATTTCCAGTGGCCGAGAAAGCGAGAGAGAGAGATGGGTCTGGCCTGTTCCAGCTGATCTACCCCTCTTTGCCATTATGGGCTTTATGTGGGAGAAAACCCTGTGGTTTTTAAAAAGGAAGGAGGATAAAGAGTCCAGAACAAAAATGTGTAGTGTTTTTTTCAGCTGGACCAGTGAGAGGACTAGAAGAGAAGCTGCTTTACTCTTCAGAGTAGCACGTTCTCCCACCTCCCAGGAAATAAATCCATATTTCTCCTTAATGACAACAGGGAGAAAAGCCATTCACAGCTCCTCGGCCGGCTCCAAAGCCACCTTGCCTGCCTGGCCGGGCTCCTCTGTCCATGCCAGGGTGGCCAAGCTGGGCCCGGATTCGAGTCCCTCCAAGTGAGCCCGGGGCCCCTCTGGGGAGGCCTCTGTGCCATTGTTCACGATGGCCTCATCGGTTTTGCGGATCCTCGAGAATGGCTGGTTTCTGACCAGCTTGGCTGGAACTTCATTCTGGGCGCTGCTGACGTGGGTTTCTTGAGCGTATTCGGACCACAGTTCTTCAGCCATGGAAAAGGCGACCCTAGAGGAGGCGTCGTCGTGAAGAGACCTGGAAAAAACTGAGGCCCACGCAGAGGAAAGACAGCGTCAACGGCAGGGGATGGATGTACTGGCTGAACTCAGTTTTGAATTTAAAGTGGGCTTGAGTCTTAGCTGTACGGATGTGCCCCCCTCCCGAAAGTCCTGGATCCTACCTTCAAAACAGGTGGACAATGGCTTTAAGCTTCAGATGAAAACCCAGAATGAAGGGTTTCTTCCCCCCCCCCCCGATACCAGAACCACCAGCTTTGCTATCTTTCCCATGACGGGTTCCGATCTCTGCAGAGCACTTTTGAAAGTTTATGGACGCTCCAGTTGCGCGTGCCCAGACGGCTCGTCGTTCCGAGTTTGGTTTGTCTGAATTTGCTCTTAGCCACAAAAACCTTGTTCCCTCGATGGTCTGGGATCGCTCTTCCCAGCCTTTGGGAAAGAAAGAGCGCCCACCAGCAAGTGCCTGAGACTCGGGTTAAACCTTCGGGAGGCTCCCTGGCTTACCTCTGACGGGGACGAAGGCGTCTTCCATCTTGGCTTTTTTGCGGGCAAAAGGGCTGATGGATGGGAAAACGATCAAGGCGAAGGACAGGAGCAACACCTGGTAGAGGGGGGGCCACAGAGGGAGTGAAAGTTGGACATAAGAAGCCCATCCTGCACCTCTCTCCTCCCTTGAAAAGGGAGAGGGGTGGCTTCTTTTTACCCCTAAAGACACCCCCCCAAAAAACCCCAAACATACCGCAACACAGGCACTTGTCTGAGCGGTTTTTGTGCCAGACTGCATCACGAGAGCCTGGAGCTTCTTCAGCTGCTGTAGCAGGGACCTGGAGGCAGGGGAAACCCACAACGTCTAGGGTGAGGGTGATGCGGGGTGGGTCGCATTTGGGGTGGGTTAGGGTTGAAACGTGGTGGCGCTGCGGGCTAAACCACAGAAGCCTGTGCTGCAGGGTCAGAAGACCAGCAGTCGTAAGATCGAATCCATGTGACGGAGTGAGTGCCCGTCGCTTGTCCCAGCTCCCACCAACCTAGCGGTTTGAAAGCATGCTAATGCAAGTACAGTAGATAAATAGGGACCACCTCGGTGGGAAGGTAACAGCGTTCCGTGTCTAAGTTGCACTGGCCATGTGACCACGGAAGATTGTCTTCGGACAAAACGCTGGCTCTATGGCTTGGAGATGGGGATGAGCACCGCCCCCTAGAGTTGAACACGACTGGACAAAAATTGTCAAGGGGAACCTTTACCTTTACCTAGGATTGAAACAGCTTGGGGGCTAACGATTTGCCATCAGTCTTTTTCAGAAGGGAAGGGGGAAAATGAGAATGTGGGGGTCTGTAAAGTAAATTTAGGTCTCTTTCCTCGTGCACTATTGTGGAAAGGACTTCCTGAAGCAATAAATAGGGATTTTCTGTTTTAAAGCACAAATGTGGCGAGTCAAGGGAAAATAACTCACTGCATTCTGTTCGTATGCACACTACAGTATATCTTTTTGTCCTGCCCACAACCAAAGGGGCGGTCACACACACCAAAAAAAGCCCTTGTGCAGCACAGGACTTACAGGTTCTGCTTCTCCAAGTGGACGACCTTTCTCTGCAGCTCCTGGTTCTGAGCTGTGCACGCGGACATCCTGCAACACAGTAAAAAGCCGATGGAGGGCACCCAGGCGAGGGGAAGGACACCCCGGGCCCTGAAAGCACCCCGAGCTTTTCAAACTTTTCCTAGCTGGTGAATAGTAGGAAAAGAGGAGGACTTGGATGCGAGATAGATGGACTCGGTAAAGGAAGCCATGGCCTTCAGTTTGCCAGAGTTTGAGCTCTGTGATCCTATTTCCTTCCTTTTATCCATCATCTTCCTTCCATCCGTCCATCCTCTTCTTTCCTCTTCTATCCATCCCCTTCCTTCCCAACCTCCTCGTTTCTTCCCCTTTCTGGGCTTAAGGGAAACCAAGCTCGCTTCCTATTGGTCAGCCTGGCTCCCGGGCGAGGAGCAGTGGGCGGAGCCGCCGCGGCGGCCAGGAGGGAGCGGAGCCGAGGAGCGGCGTTTTCCCTCCGGTCCGGCACAGTGTCATTTAAGGCGCGGCGTGCCGCTGCCGCTCAGCCAGTCTGCGGGGACATTTCGGCGGCGGAGGGAGTCGCGGAGAAGAGCGGCCAAAGACAGGCGGCGCAGCGGCCGGGAAAGGCTGAAGCGGGAACTCCGAAGAGGAGGGAACCGGCCGCCGGGCTGAGGGGTGGGGTGGTTCCCCTGAGAGCTGAAGCCCTGGGGCAGCCTTTCCCCCTTGGGATGAGAGCTGAAATCCGAAAGCCGTAGGACCCTCCGACCCCCCGGCTGAAGACTCCATCCCGGGGCAGGAGTCGCCCGGGAAGCGCTCCTACCGTCGTTCCAGCCCGTCCACGTACTCCTTCTTCTTTTTCCGGCTCTCTTGGGCCGACTGCTTGTTGCGGATCTTCCGGCGGATTTTCTTGAGCATCCTTTCTTCGTACTGCAGGAGGAAGAAGTAGTTTAATTCACTGTAACCACGGTTTGCGTCGTTATTGGGTCTGAAGTTGTCCCCGGGTCGGGTGGTGGATGGGTCCCAAGTGCAGCGGCCAGTGAAGCCAAGATAAGGGCAGGGAAAGGAGTCAGAGAGACTATGAGAAGAGCTGGAAACTCTTCTCTTTCAAAATAGAGTAATAAATGTAAGCTGGTAGTTTGGGGACCATTTCTGGCCTCAAAAGAAGGAAGCAGACCTGGTTTGTGTGATGGTTTGCCACCATTCTTTCAGAAGGTCTTTTCTGCAAACCAGTGTAAGGTGGCCTCCTGCTCTGAGGGTGTTTTTGGGAACAAAGAATTGCCTGCTTCTGTGAGACACGCCGCTAATGGTGAATTACATCTGAGTAGTTCACTAATAGCTTGGGTTTAGGCTCTGGCCAGAGATTTGGGGTTCAGTTCCCCTCTGATGCCTCCCTTCCTTCAAAAGGCTCACAATAAGTTGAAATGAAAGATCTACCAAGTGATCCTTTCTATTTTCTAAATAGTTTCTTGCTGCTCTTAGAAGGGTCCAGAAATTGTGCTTTTTTTCACATTGAGAGGGAGGGTTTGTCAAACTTCTCATAAATATATATCACAAAGTGGGGTGGGTGTGGGCCCGTTGTACCTTGGTGAGCGGGAGCTGGCTGGGCAGCATCACCCCTTCCTTGGCCAGCAGTTTCTTCTCGTCCTCCGTCAGCACCAGATCCTGACACGTCCCAGCACTTTGCCTGAGCAGGGAGTTAGTTCCCTGTGGGTGACAAACAGAAGAGATGCTACTCTACTGAGTAAACAGTTTTAAGGGAGGGTCTCCAAACAGTCAACAAGAATGGAACCGTCCCCCCCCCGAAATGTACAGATCTATATCACTAGTGCCTCAGCAAGGTCTGCCTTAGTCCTCTTAAGTGGTACATTTTTTATTCTAGACTCTAGGGTTATGGTTTAACCCAAACCTCACAAAATGACATTTATGAGGTCCTGCTTCCAAGACCCTTGCATCCTAGTGAACAATGTTGCTGAGTTTTTAGTTCTTTCTCAGGTGTAAGTTTTGAGGTTTTAGGTCTTACATGAAAACTAGCAAGAACAAGACACTTTCAGGACTTCTTTTCCATGAGTCTTTCCTTTCCTGTCCCAGCCAGTGCTAGGCACTGAGAACAAAACAAAAAGCACACCTTTGGCCTTACCCGGTCCACTGGCTGAATTTTTATTATCTTTTTAAAAATCTGGGATACTTGCCACATCACAGCTGCTGGACAGCAACAGGTCCTTGATGGTCAGGCTGCAGGAAGGCGAGTTTGGGACAGAGGCGGCCAGCTCTTGTCTCCCCCCTGGGTAAAATCCAGGGTCCCACATGTCTGTCAAGAAAGACCAGGAGGGGATATGACCTGTGCATTAAGCATTCAAAACAACTGTATCCACAAATTGCTCACCTCCAGGTTTAGCACTGAAAAATATCCCCCTCCCCCCAAAAAAAATCCAAACTCACATTCTAGTCACTGCCAGACCCACCTTTCCAATTCTGGGATGTTTTGGTGGTTGGTTGTTTTTTTTTAATGGCTTCTGTACAACCTGGGAGGCAGAGCACACCTTCCCAGAGCCACGAAAAGTGACCCACCCTGTCATAAAGCTTGAAAAATGTCCAAAGATTCCTTCAAAGGCTTTGGAAAATGACATTTGCAAGCAAGCAGATGTTACGGGATTCACTCACAGTAGCCATATTGTGCTACTTCAGATGTGTCACTTTGTGGCGCTGCTGTTAACCCTCCCAAAAGTAACAGGTTAGAAACATAGTTACTTCCAGACTTTCTGATTCTCCTGCAGAAGAGTGAAAACAAAGGACTCACTGAAGTCTATGGAGATTTCTGTGTCTCTCTGTTCCCCCGCTGGCGGTTTCAGGGGCTGTGGAGTTTGAGGCAGGTAAGCCAGCTCGCTCTGAGAGCTCCCTTCGGAGTAGGCCTGGGGGCTGTTGCTGGGGACATAGTGGGGGGGACTGTCCAGCTGGTCGTCCGAGATCCCGCTGTCGCTGCCGGCCGGAGACCAGGTCGGGGAGTCAGAAGCAGCTTCCGGGAGCCCCAGGATAGAATTGATAAACTGTTCATTCTCTTGGCCGCTTATCAGATGCTGTAAAAATTGACCCAAAAAATCCAGACGGTTGTTTAAACTGCTTTTTCAGCAAGAGAACAAAGCAAAAAAGACTCAGTTTAATCCGACAAGGTCAGGAATCCACTTCTTCGGATACAGCTTTATGGAAAAGTAGAAGCAGATTGTGATCTGGGAACCAAATCTTAACGTCGGTACAGTACTGGAATTTTTTTCCCTGATTTATTCTAGAAGATTTGTTCTGTTTGTGTTGCAATGCCAGGACAAATTACAACAATACAAGCAACGTATAATACTGTATTCTGCATTGTGATTTTTTCCGCACAAGCACAGAAGGGGACTTTTCTCTTTGTTTCTGTAGCATCCAAATACGGGAAGCTGCAGCAAAACTTAGGAGTGATTTTTTTAAAGCAGTTTGTCTGAAATATCAGTTTCCTCTTCACTCCCAAAACTGAATCAAACTGAAATAACCAAGCCATGTGGATGCTTGGGGGGGTTAGGTCTCAGTCCTGCCCACCCCTGTTTTAAACACCTTTGCATCCATCCCTTCTTCATCATCCCACCTCTGCCAGGTTGGGGAGACAGACTGAGAAGTTTACTCACGCTTTCATCCTGCCCCATCCACGTGGACCCCGAGGGCCCGAGTTCCACATTACGAAGGATCCCATCCTGCCGATCAAACAGGAGGTCCAGCAGCTCCATGCCGTCAAGGCTGGCTGGAGAGATCATGGCTGGAGAACAGAGAAAGGGGGGGGACCAAAAATGGTCGTTGTAAAGATTAGTGAGACTACTAGTTGGATTTAAGACTCAACGGCTGCTTGTTTATTGCTATAAAATGGATTGTGGCTCCTTTCTTTACCCCCTTTGTTACTATCTTCTTCCCCTGCCTGTTTTATAATTTATTTTCCTAGGAAGGGGATACCAAATTTCCATGACGGAGCTGACTTTTGTTCCTTTGCATGTACAGTATATATTTGAGCCTAACCTTGGCAAAGATCTCATTAAATACAAATAGCCGCGAGCGGACCAATCGCCCAGGCTTCACTCTGGGGAGACCAGTGGCCACCTGGTTTAGATTCTGAGAACCCATCCTGTATCCCGAAACCGGCCTGTGCCGTGTTGTGGAAATGGTTTTCTCAGTTTTTATTTTATTTTGTTTTGTTTTTTTGAGAATGGGTCAGTGGTCCCAAAGGTGTAGTGAAGACTCGGGAGCTTCACCACCTGCCATTCTCTGGAAAAAGCCTGGGTCAGCCAGACTCTGGACTTTGCTCCTGATTCCCAGCTTGGTTGCACCACTGGCGGAGCGGCTCCCCGATACAGGTCCTCTGCGCCACTGGAACCAACAACGTAGAGGGATCTGTTCTACTCAGACTCGGGCCAGTTCGGGGAGGGCTTGGACTACCAGCTTCTCAACTTTCCATCGCAGGCCTACACCGCGAGGTAGCAATCTCGTCTCCAGTGTGGGTTTTGGAGCCACCCTTGGCCAGGGAGGAAACAAAAGCAGGGACACCCACCAGCACAGGCAGGTTTTCCCACCTGGACAAAACTGGTCAGGAACTGGGTGGCTTCTGTCTTTCTGTCATGTGAACAAACCGACCCCTCCTGCTCCACTCAGCACCCATCGTCCCCGCTTCGTTTCCTCTGGCATGGCTGTTGCCCTGTTTGCTTTGGGCTGGTTTCCGATCTATTTGTGGCTAAGCAAGAGAAGAAGACACCGCAAGTTGAGGAATCGGCTTGCGCACCAAAAGGACTCACCCTGATATGATCCGTGGCTTTGGCCCCTTCTGGGTCTGTTTGGCCCCGATGTCTTTTATTCCAAAAATTCCTTGTATTTACCCCCTTTGAGCCTCCTCGTAACTCCCTCTGGCCAGCCTGAAGCCCCGTCCCGCTATGTGGCAAGGTTTAGATTCCAACAGAGCAAAAATCACGTCAGGTGCGAGGAAACCCCTCCCCTCATCCCGCTCGCCAATGGGAGAAACATGGAGGCAGACAAAGAGGTGAGGGACCAGTTGGGTAACCATTATCTAAATCACTTCAGTCCCTCACCCACCCTCTTTCTAATTTGAGACGGGTGCCGGGCCTGGGGGGTGCAAAGTCTGCTTCAGGACTGCATCGCCATGAACTTTAGCCCACTTTTTCAAGAACAGCGGCCTCTCGATCTTCTTCGGCAGCCACAACAACAAGCCATTATAGTATTTTGCATCACAGCCACATCGTTGATGGATGTTGCACAGGTAACGCTCAGGTGGAAGCTTTTTGTGGGCTGTTTCCTCTTGCCTGAGCTTCGATCCTCGCACAAGCAAGGATCAGGTTCTCTTGGGGAAAGGATGGCCTAGAAGGGGCCATTAGGAACCATTAGCCCTACAAAAGACCTGCTCCCAGTGGAGAAGAAAGCTGCTCTATCCCGTTTATTGTGACTGGTGGATCAACACAACTGCTTGCCATGGTTGAACCCTTCTTGCAGACCTGGCTGTTTTGGGGAGCAACCATGATGGACATATGTGTTTTCTAGCACACTTTGTACTGTAATTAAGCCTCATGGAGTTTTGCTCTATTCTAATTCTGTTGATTTGTCACCGTGTAAACCGCTCAGAATAATATTTCTGCACCCCAGGAAAACAGGCTTGTTTCAGGTACACAAGAATGTTCTTTTGGGTTACTTGTTCTTATCATGGACGTGTTCCTGATAAGTTTCTGAGAAATCCCAGGACTTCCTAGAAAAGAGTATGAAAACCTCTAGACTTGAGGACGGATCTGATAAAGAGCAGCGGAGAAGGCTTCACCTTGGTGTTCAGCGTGGAAATGTATTATGATGAAATATTAAGAAGACCGCCTGGAAAGGAAGAGCAGTTTGACAGTGGAACTCCCTACCTCGCAAACTGGTGGGCTCTGGAGGTGTGTTAACAGAACTCAGTGGCTATATGTCATGGGTGGTTTTTTTTTGTTTTTTGTTTTGTTTTGTTTTTTGGTGGATGTTTCCCGGTTGGATTAGATGACCTTTAGGGCCTCTTCTGATTCAATTAGACTAAGATTCATGAGCTGGACACTCTCCAGCCTTTTCCCACCCACCCACCAGCATTAATTGTGCTAGTCCCCAGGCAATTAACAGAAGCTTGTCTGGGATTTAATTACTGGGGTTTATGGCCTGACTCAGTGAAGATGGCGCCATCAGCTCCTCCAAGTTGCCCCTTGGCCCCCCACGCCCAGATCACAAGCCACTTTACTCACCGTTTTCTCCAGGAAGGATTGGGTCACCCAAGGAAACCTGCAGCCACTTCGCTGTGAACTTTGCATCTCGGACCCAGATGGGGCAGGAAGGTGTCGTTTTACTTCAGATTAAAACTGGTTTAAAGCCAAGGCATTTGGTCACCAAGATGCACAGAATTCATTCCGCAGAGCTCCCTCTATAATCAATCAATGGGCAAGACCTGAGGGTGACACAGAAATCTTTGGCCGTGAACCCTTTGGAAGCAGCTTTTCTCGGCAGCCTCTTAAGAAGAGCTGGGAGTTAAAAAGTGGCTTGTCCACATGGTAGCCAAAAGGGACCCCTTGATTTCATTGTGCCTCACAATGCCCATGACGTGGCATTGGGCGACTCCCAAAGTTGGGGTGTCTATTTGTGCTGTGAATCCACTCCAGCTTTTGGTCTGCACCTCCAGGAGCGATTAGAGGTGCCGAACCCCATTCTCCAAACTGGATTAAGCACGTCAGATAAGTCCTGTAAAACCCAGCACAGATCGGCGGGGCCCCCGGAACTGGAGTCCATGCATGACCCTAGTTGGCTTAATATGGCCATTCCCATCTCTCTTTCTCATGACACCCAGGCACGTGGGTTGTGCATGTTGTGTTGTACACATGCGGGCACATGCCCGTGGGGCGGCCTGTGAGCATGCTGGAAGGATGGCGAGCAGACAAGCGATACTTTCTGTTCTTTTCTATTTTTATGTGGAGGATTTTTTTGGCTGCTATGCGGACATGGAGGCGAACGAGCGGCTCGGCAGATGGATGGGGTTGCTGAAGAGCAAAAGAGGAACGGAACAAGTATTTTTATTTTATTTCTCCCAGCTACTCAGCTCGAGAAGGCGAACGGTTGAAAACACAAATTATTGCATTCAAAATGCACCCTGCACACACACACACACAATTAACATATATTGCTATTCAAGTAATAGATTAACACGGTGCAATTAGTGAGTTTAAAAAATGCAACAGGGCTGATGATTAAAACACCAGCCAATTGAAAACACAATAAACGGCTGCATTAAAAACAACAACATATAATACTATTCAGATAATGGATATATCACTGGATCTGTTCCAATCTTGAATATTGCTCTTTGTAAGCATGTTAGAAATAAAAAATGTGAAAAAACACAACTATTTATGTATTTATTTATGGTGATTGCACAGTTTTGAAAGTTCGCCAGCCAAAGGGAAATATGACTAAATTACGGTGATTTATTGAGGGAAACACTCTGCATACCCTCAGGAACCCTCTTTTTGGTTTTATTTATTTATTTATTTATTTTATTGTATTTATACCCCGCCTATCTAGTCATTTCGACCACTCTAGGCGGAACTACAATGGTTTGGTTTTTCTTCCCACGCCCTTTTTTATCAGGTCCCGCCCTGAAGCTTTTGAAACCCCTCCTTGGGGACTACAACTCCCAGAATCCTCCAGTCAACATAGGAATGATGAGAACTATTGTTCCGCAAAAGAAGAAGAGGAAAACCCAGCCCTTCCGCCTCTCTTTTCGCGGGCGGGCGTGCGCCTCAAATTTTTTTAACTTTTTTTTAAATTTTATTTGTTCGATTTATATCCCGCCCACCTGGTATATTCTACCACTCCCGCCCGTTTCTCGGCCCTCCCTTTTCTGCGCATGCGTCTGTTTTCCTCAGATAGAGGGCGTCGTATGTGGTCTTAAAAAAAAGAAGCGTTCTCGCGAGATTTTCGCTTCTTGTTAAATTCCTTTGGGAACGCGCACCTGGAACGGGAGAGCCGACCAATCAGATGCGAGCGCGCATTCCTCAACCCTCCCGAGAAGCCGACCAATCATGAGGGTCCGGAGGGGAAGACGGAAGAGCTCGCGCCGAGAAAGTCCGTCCTATTGGCCGAGAAGAGTGGGCGGGAAAGAGTAGGGCGGAGGGGGGGTTTGAGGGAAATCCATCCAATCGGCGGAGGAGAGGCGGGCCGTTGTTCCCGCCGCCACTGGGGGAGGTGGGTGACAGAGCAGGAGACGGAAGAGGGTTCGCCTCCGCCCCAGCGACAGCTCGGCCAATGAGGAGCGAGGACGCCCTGCTCGCGCAGCGCCAGCCGCCCAATGGAAGAGCGCCGGCGGCCCCCGCCTCCTGGCCAATCCGTGCTCCCGGAGGGGAGCCACGCCCCCTTCCCCTTGCCGTCGCTCCCCAGTCCCGCCTCGCCTCTCGCGACGGCTGTTCTTGCTCTTTCCGGAGGAGCGAAAGGAGGCCTCGCGGGAAGCCTCGGCCTCGCGTAGCGCCGCCAGCCGGGCGATGACGACCCCGCCGCCGACGAGGCCGAGGCGAGCCCCTCGCTAAAGGAGGCCTTCCCTTCTCTTCGCTGCTCCTGCCGCCGCCGTCTCGCCTTCGTTCTCCTCCGAGGCCGCCTCCCCTCCGTCGCCATGCCGGCCAAAAGGAAGCTGGTCCCGCCGGCCTTGAACATCACCCCCACCATCGCCGAAGGGCCCAGTCCCACCGGCGGCGAGGGCGACGGCCCCGAGTGAGTGGCCGCGGGAGGAGGGGGTGTCTGGGAGGGAATGGGGGGCGTGCTGGAAGAAGGGCGAGGGGGCGACGGTGTTATTTCGCTGGGTTTAGGAGTCGGGAGCAAGAGGAGGAGGAAGGCGGTGGTGACGTTGAGTAACGCTTGCAGGAACGGCAGCGCTCCTGGGAGTCTGGGGTCCGTGTCCAAGGGGGAGGAGAAAGAAGTAACGCGTTTAATAACGCTCGCAGGAACGGCAGTGCTCTTGGGAGTCCGGAGGGGCTAGTGAGGGTGGGAGGGGCAGGAGCAGTAACATAGAGCAGGTCTAAGAGTGCCGGTAGTAGTAGTAGTAATAATAATAATAACCATGATGATGATGGAGATAGTGATGATAACGAGAGGAACGGTTATAATAATAAAAACAACACCATCGTGTAAACAAACACAAGGGGAGGTGTATAGTTCTAGAAAGACCTTTTTGAGATAGCTAGGCAAAAAGGGCTGCTTAAGAGCAGCCCGTGGAGTGGCCGGGGATTTAAAGGGTTGATTTAGAAAAGAGGGGCTGGGGAGCTACCAGGAGCGGGGTAGGAAGTGTGGGTTGCGATCCTAGCCCTAGGCATGTGTGGGTTTTTATTGTTGTTGTTATTAATATTTATTGAGGAAATAAATAAAGCAGCCCTTGGTCCTTTATTTTAAAGGAGAAATGTGAGCTTTAAAAATTGTTTTAAATCAAGACACTGTACTAGGCTTGAAATATTTTTTACCCCACATTTCTCCTTAAAAAGGAACCCAGGTGGTTTAAGATGTTAAAAGACAAGGCTAGCAGTGCGAAGTACAGGAGGGGGGGTGTTTAGTGACAGTGGGCGTGGCGGGAGTGATCCTGATGGAAGTCTGTTTCTGGTGAGAATCCCGTAGTAAAGTGTAAAAGCAGCAGCAACAGTACTTAAGGCAAGGGTCTTAATCATGCTACCAGTTAACATTGGGGGCGGGAGTCGGGTGTAGGAGGAGCGGCGGCAGCAGAAGGAACAAAAAGCAGTGGTAATGATGATATAGTAGACTTTAAAATTTAAAAAAAAAGGAGTACTGGTTGTAGCAATTATGGTAGTTGCCATCTGGATAGTATTTGTAGGAAGACTGCACAGGTGGGGGGTAGGAACCCCAGCAGTAATAATGGTGGCGGCTAGAAGAGTAGCCGCAACAGCAGCAGTAACAATAATAACACAAGTAAGCTTCTGGACTTTGCAAGGAGATGATAGGAGCACCGATAGTATTGATGGTAACGGTGTGTAGCAACAATAGGAGTGGAGTGGTAGTAACAGCAGAAGTAGCAATCACAAGCAGTGATGGGAGCAGCAATCTAAAAACCCTTAAGCTTTTTAAAAGTAGAAGAGCTAATGGCTAGTAACAGTCTTTACGACCTTGCGTATTATGCTTGTAGCCATTGTACTAAGGAGAATGGTAGTAGTAGCACTGGTAAGGGTCTGGATAGAATGATGTTGGGATTGGTTTTAAAGGGGGGGGATCCTCAGGATGGGGAGAAGACGGTGGGTCTGGGGTGGCGTCTGGAAGCAGAGAGAGGTTTGAAGGGTGGTTCTTGCCTTCTGGGGCTGAGCTGAGGGTGGAAGTCATTGCTATAATCGTGGTAGAAGGTAGCGGTCAGAGCAGTAGAACAAGTACCTGTAATAGTAATAGCAATTATTAATCACTGTGGCAGCAGCTGTAGTGAATCCTTGTGAGTTTTAGGAGGATAAGAGTGTAAAAAAAACAACAATAGGGGCACAAGAGTGTTTCATAAGTAGGATCCTTTGTTCTTATATCTGTCAGATATATCTGTTGCACTCGTGGGCCGCTGGTCCTATGAGTCTTATAAATGGCTCTTCATTCCCTTCAACAACCACTCTGTGAGGTAGGCTCAACCAAGAACAGGCCCCATAGAAGGACAGCCCGTGAGTTTCACGGTTGAAGGTGAATTTAACTGAGGCCTCTTTGAGTTCTCGGTCCAGCACGGCGACTCTTTGGTTGGTTTTCCTCCCCCCCCCCATCCTTTCTCTGTTGTCCCTGAGTCTGGCACGCCAACCACTGTCCCTGGAAATTGTTCTGGCAGAAGGAGGTGAGAAGATTTGGGGACTGGCACGTTCGGGGGGGAGGAGCGTTGCTTGTGGCATGCTGTGTTAACACGACAACTGGTCCTCCCTGCTAGAATTATGTAAGGCTTTTTCTGTCTGTTGCCATGATGATACTGTGAGTAATAAGTGGTAAGTGGGTGTTGAGTGTGAGAGAGCAAGCAGGTGGGGGGGAGATACACTGAATCTCAGTGGGAAAGTACAGAAGAATGTGTGCATTGAAATGTCATACAGCAGGTATGACATTTCAAGGTGGCATCCATGTGCCCTAGGTGAGGAAATGAATCTCCCTCCTTGACACGGGAGAGTTCAAAGCACCTGCATTTCTTTCTAAACTTGTCAGAATGACACTGAGCAGTAGCATTTATAATAAAAATTTAGTTTTGTTGTGAATTTTCATCACATTTTTTCCCTCCAGGGATGTATGCTCCCTTTTGTGTGTGTCCCCACACACACACACAATTTCCACACCCTTATCCTAGCAATAACCTTATTAAAGTGGGCCAGGCTAAAGTTGGGGAGGGGCTGGGCTGAAAAATAGCTCACTGCCTCTTAGGAGCATTATAATATTGCCATTTTGGTGCCCAGTATTCTGAGGAAGCTCAGAATTGTTTGGGGTCTTTCCGTCTGGTCCACGGGCATCCTGAAAGTTTCGTGAGCAGAGAGAGAGACGAATCGGTGAAGTCCTTGGCCCAGCAGTCCAAATCCTGTGCTGGGAATGTGAAAGAGTCGAGGAGGGTGAGGGAAACACATTGCTTAGGTTTTGCTAGGGGAAGAGAGAGGAAAGAAGGAGATAGGGTGACGTTGAGTAGGGGAATCGTAGCCTTGCCTTCTCGGGGGGGGGGAGAGCAAAGGGTTGGTGTGGACTGAGGTTTAACAGAGCCTGCAGTTATAGGCAGGTGATGAACCAATCTATACATGGTGAAATCCGAGGGTTAAAATCCAGGTGTGGGAAAGCAGGAGCATTTTGGAAGTTCCATGCGTGGGGGGGGCAGTTCATGTGTCCAAGGAAAAGACCAGAATGTTGCAGCCCCAGATTTCGTAATAGCTGCTAGCTGGTAAATCTGACCGGGGTTGTCAGGAGTCCTGGAAAGGTTGGTCAGATCCAGGGCAGGGTGTTGGCTTCAGCTAGCCTCCAGATGGCTTGTAGGGGTGGGTGGCTGGGTTGGGTTAGACCTGTGGGAGAAGAGTGACTAATTTGGAGGAGAGTCAGGAGCCAAAGAGGTGAGGGAAGAGATATAAAATCAAGGATGGGTGGGTGGGCTCAGGTGTTTCGGTGGCAAAATATTGTCCGGATGTTGCAGGAAGAGAGACATTCTTGCTTAACAGGAAACGGCACTAGCTCTTTGGAAAAAGGAGGTTTGAACTGTGGAGAACCAGCTGCTCCTGCTGCTAGGGCGGGAATGTACCAAGAGTGTAACAGAGGATGGTTTTTAAGACCTTGGCGTGAGCGTGATGTAAATCTTTACAGGAGAGAGAAAGCAAGCTCTGGTCTTCCTCACGGGCCTCCCTGCTAGCAAAGCCCCTCCCAGAATACCTTTTAAAAGGCCGAGAAGAACATGTTCAGGGTTGCAGAATATTTTAAGACCTCTAGGTGTGTTTTCACCACCAAAGGTTTGGGCAAGACCTGACAACTCAAACTCAGAGTGATTTCTCTTGGCAAAGGGTGCTCAGGCCACCTCCGTTCCTTCTCCCGCTAGCAAGTAGCCCCACCTCCCGCGCTTCAGCCTGTGGGGCAGGACCGCCCCCTTAGAACCACAGAGTTGGAAGGGACCATCTGGATCATCACGTCCAGCCCCTGTCAAGGAGGCCCCGGTGGGGGCATCAAGCTCCCAACCTCAGGGGAATAATGGCTGGTCCGGTAATTCCCCTCCTCCCTCCCCCCCCAGAGCGCATCTGGTGGACCTCCAGAAGAAGCTCGAAGAACTGGAGCTGGACGAGCAGCAGAAGAAGCGGCTGGAGGCTTTCCTCACCCAGAAGGCCAAAGTTGGGGAACTGAAGGACGACGATTTCGAGCGCATTTCAGAACTTGGCGCCGGCAATGGCGGGGTGGTCACCAAAGTCCAGCACAAACCCTCAGGGCTCATCATGGCACGGAAGGTGAGAGATGGAGACAGCTTGTGCCCAGAGAGGAGGGGGGAGGCCTGGAAAGGTTTTTGGGTCCCATTCTATTCCCTCGAGAATCCAAGAAATAATCAGTCCGCACGGGAGAACTTGTGGAGGCTGCGGCTTGTCCAGAGCCCTTCCCCCTCTTGGGGTAGGAAATCTAGGGAGATGTCCCGGCCGTTTTGAACAGGCCTCAGTTTTTGTCCGGTAGCTCCTCTGCCTTGATTTCTTGACCCCTTCTCTCTCTCTCCTCCTCCCCCCCTTCTCTGCAGCTGATTCACCTAGAGATCAAGCCCGCCATTCGGAACCAGATCATCCGTGAGCTGCAGGTCCTTCACGAGTGCAACTCCCCCTATATTGTGGGTTTCTATGGGGCCTTTTACAGCGACGGGGAAATCAGCATTTGTATGGAGCACATGGTGAGGCTGCCTTCTGGAGATAGATGCCTAGATGGTAGAAGGCCAAAATGGTGTTCGTAAGACTTTCTCTTGTGCCACGACCGAATATTCCTCAAGGCGTATCTGAGTGCAGCCACGGGATCAGGGAGAACCCTCCCCTCCGATTATATAAAGGAAAATGCTGCCATCTGGTGACTTCTTTAGTCACTGGGTTGCCGTGAAGGCCCCATGAGGGATAAAGCCATCAAACCTCCTTACCTCAGTGGTTCTTGAGTGTTGTCCTGGTGATCTGCCCTCTGGATGGCGGGGTGGGGTGGGGGATATCTCTGGGGCAGGCCATGGGTTCTAACAAGGCCCAGCAGCTCTTGACAAGTCCAGGAGCAAAGCAGCCCAAGAGAAACCTCCAGCGATGGGGGAGAAGGCAACTCAGAAATGTTTTCCTTTTAAAAAAACTGAAAGGCATAATGAATCGTGAAAACTTGGAGGAAGTAAGATCGTTATGATTCCCAGGGGTATCGTAATTGTGGCTCCTCATAAGGAGCTTGGACTTGCCTTCCTGTTCTTTGCCTTGAAGCAGGGTGTCGAAACTCCTCTTGCCGTGGTGCTTTGCTTTCGAGCCACTGTGCCCTGTGGCCTCTGCTTTCTATTCACAAAATAAGTTCGTGTTCCTCCTGTTCTTAAATTGATGAGGGTTTGGGTTTTTTTTAAAAAGTGGAGAGTGGTGCCTTTTTTCTTCTTAGTGGGGCTTCTTCTCAACTGAAAGGGGGGGGGTAGAAATCCTTCCAGGAACAATCAGGTGACTGCTCCTCTAAATTTTAGGATGGAGGCTCCCTCGACCAGGTCTTGAAAGAAGCCAAGAGGATTCCTGAAGAAATCTTAGGGAAAGTGAGCATCGCGGTGAGTGAGGGGCTATCTTCTTTTCAGAAAAAGAGGGCCTGGGTGGGTGGGGAGGACATAGAGAATTTCATGTCTTGGGTCTTTCGTGATTTTCCTCTGTCTCCACCTTTCCCACTTCTAGGTTTTGCGAGGCTTAGCTTACTTACGGGAGAAGCACCAGATTATGCACAGAGGTGAGAGAGAGAGGGGAACAGAGCTCGCGCATGGGCACAACCTGAATATAGCTGGTCTGGGAGGGGTGTTTATCTGCTGATAGAACCCGGAAGGGCTTTTGACCCGACAGGAGCAAAACCAGGCCTCTGTGTAGGTCGGAAGTTTGGAGCTGGGTTGGATTTTTCTCTTCTGCACTGCACTCCTTCCACGCCCCTCCCAGGCATGCAGGCAAGGGGAAGGAGGTAAGAGTGAACCCAGAGGGCCAGACCACCGGAAGAGCCACTAGAAAACCAGTGGAGAGGTATGGATTCTGTGCTACAATCCATGAGGACTAGAAGCTTGCTTTTTTCTGTTTGTCTCATTTTAAGCCAAGGGAGAAGTATTCTGCTCCCTTTTAGCAGATTTTTCACCTGTTTTAGTGATTGCATAAAGGTGTCTCCTAGCATGGCTGTTAAAGTTGTTGTTTTTCTCTCCAGCCTTTTCTCTGTCCTTTTAAATGTGTCTGTATATATTTTCAGATGTGAAGCCTTCAAACATTTTGGTGAATTCCCGAGGAGAGATCAAACTCTGTGATTTCGGGGTCAGCGGCCAGCTCATTGACTCCATGGCAAATTCTTTTGTGGGCACCCGATCCTATATGTCGGTAGGTCCCTCCACTTAAACAGCTCGTGTCCCGTTTTCCGGGAGGCCGGCTCCCCTCACTCATGTCCTCCCCGTCCGCAGCCCGAGCGCCTGCAAGGCACTCACTACTCAGTCCAGTCCGACATCTGGAGCATGGGCCTCTCCCTGGTGGAGCTCTCCATCGGAAGGTACCCCATCCCCCCGCCTGATGGCAAGGAGCTGGAAGCGATCTTCGGCCGCCCGGTAGTGGACGGAGCAGGAGGAGAGCCTCACAGCATCTCACCACGGCCCAGGCCCCCAGGACGTCCAGTTAGTGGTAAGGGTTCTGCTGGGAGGGACTTACATGCAATTTTCAAGGACATGAGTGGGGAAAAACATGCTATGCGAATTGTAAAGCAGTCACCAGTGGAGGGAATTAGTCGCTGGGAAGCATGATCACCGCCGTAGGAGCCAAGCAGGCATGGGTAGATGGCAGCCGTGGTCCTCCGGAAAGGTTGAAGGGTTCCTCGTCCCAGCTGACAAACGCCAGCACTAGGATACGTGTCCTAGCCAAGAAACGTGATGGCCAGGAGGCCTTCGCAAGACAGTGCAGCTCTCAAAAGAGAGAAATGTTCCGTTCGGGTGATAGTCATTCATTAGGATCACAGGCAACGCGTCATTTTGGCTCAGTTTTTCCGCCTTGCGTTTGCCTCTTCTCCATGATTCCTTCTCAGCTGCCAAGTGAAAAGATAGACTAACGATAGAGTATGGCTCCTCATTCCCCCTTTTTTCCCTTTTTCCACGGTGTACAGGCCATGGCATGGACAGTCGGCCGGCGATGGCCATCTTCGAGCTGCTGGACTACATTGTGAACGAGGTGGGTCGCTTTCCTTTCCTAGGCTGCTTTTCTCCCTTCCCCCACTGCCTTTTCTTCTAGTCTTTTCCAGGTTTTGTGTTCAAGTTTCATTTTTTTTTCTTCCTTTCTCTTTTCAGCCGCCTCCAAAGCTGCCGCCTGGAGTTTTCACGCAAGACTTCCAGGAATTTGTAAATAAATGGTAATGACTCGCTGGGATCCATGAGAGGGACATATATAAGAAACTCCCCCGGGGTGAGTGGGAGAGAGGGCGTGCCTCTGAAGGGAGTGTAGGTAGACTTGACTAACCTTTTTGTTTTGTTTTTCTCTACCCACCCGCAGCTTAATTAAAAACCCTGCTGAACGGGCAGATCTCAAGATGCTGATGGTAAGTCCACGTCCCGTCTCCCTACCGGCAAGGTGCTTAAATAAAACTTGAAACTTCAGCCCGGCTGCCGAGGGAGGCAGGCAGAAGGAGCCCTTTGTTCTGAACCCGAGGAGGCAGAGCCACGCAGGCCTTGGCCAGATTTGCATATTTCTGCCCCTCTGGCAGAGGGGCGGGTCGTGAGCGAGGGAGGGGGTGGCGACAGGACCCCAGCCAGGCGAGCCGGCTTGGCCGCCTCTTGCTGATCCAGCATCACCCGTTCCCTGCCTGCCTGTGCAGGAAACCCACAGCTAAAGCATTTCTGAGGGAGGGCCATCTGTTTAAAAACCTCCCACCCTGGAGAGCCTACCCCTCCCTTCTAAGAGAGCCCATTAGGGTTTTGCTCTCTGGAAGTCCCCTTTCTTGTCATTTGGACCCACTGGTTTGCTGTCTTTCCCTCCAGAGCTGCAGAAAACAAGCTTGTTCCATCTTAGTGATGTAGGAAACACACACACTGCCCCCCGCCCAGATGGTCCCAGCAGAGAGCTTGAAACAGGGCGAGGGTGTTGGTGGGATGGCCACTGTGGGATTGCCATTCCCTGTCAAAGGCTCCAGACGGCAACAGATGGGCCAGACAGGTGTCAACGGCATGGGAGCCCTTCTCTCGACCAGGCCGTTTTGTCCTGATCGGCGCCAGTGGCGCAGGGTGGAACCCGCTCGGTGCCTTCCCACCTTAATGACCTGCTTGAGGCTAGCTTCTGAAAACCACCGTCTTCAACCGGTTTATAAACCCATCAAATGTGCTTGTTCCAAAACTGTTTGGTCCTTTAAAAAAAAAAAGCGAAACTGAGCGGAAGCGCTTTCTCCCCCGTGGTGTGGCTGAATTGACTGGCCCTAAATGTAACTTAGAGAGAGAGTAAAAGCTACATCTAGGATGACTTGGGGCCAAAGTGCACGATGGAGGGGGGGAAGAGCTCCAGAATACAAGCATGTAGGCAGCTGTGTGTTTTATGAAAGTTGAAACGCAGGGAACCCTCCCCACAAACACACAGAGCCCATAGAGACACCCCCTCTCACGATCCTTGGAATGGAATGACAGGTCTCCCCAGACTTGATCCTGTAGTGGTGTGTTTGTGAAAGATTCTGTAAGGAACTACAGAGAGAGATTAGTGCCCAGTGGTGAAAATCCGCTGCAACCTCTTGCACGTTTTGGATCAACACCGTCTTTTCTCCAGGGCAGTGACCATGCCGGGTGCTTTTTGGAGAAGTCGGTTCTCCCCCTGCTTTTCCATTCGTTTCTTGCTTTTACTTCCCGTCCCACCCCTCCCGTCTCATTTTGTTTAAGAAGGGGGGCCCATGGGTGAACAGTCACGATTTGGCTCGTTTTCAGTTCCTGTGAAATTTGTGGTGTCTTTCTGTAATCTCTGATGTCTGTCAGCACCTCTAAAGCCGTTGTTTTAGCGGGAAAGGTAGAATACTATTGAGAGCTTTTAAAAACAAGCCCTGTTGGGGGATGCATGTTTGTGTCTCAGGAACCCTCCTCTGTTTACGAGGAAGTAACCTCTTGCATCATCGCTCTTCCATCAGGAGAGATTTTAAGCCTGCTTTATCCCTTGGCGTAGAGCCCTGTTGCTTTCCCTTTCCATTCGTCTCCTTTGTTTTTGAAATGAAAAAGGATCGTGTTGTCTGTACGCACACACACCCACAGCCCCAGTTCTTGGGTCAAATTCCTGCCCATTCAGGAGAAGTCGGGAATTGCTTGCAGGAACTGTGATTCTGGGGTGCCTCTTTGGCCCAGCATGCCACATCCCCAGGTTGTTCCAGGGAAAATGGAGGAAGTGAAGGAAGCTTTTAACAGGGTGAGGAAGAAGCTTCAGAGGAGTTCAGCTTTCCGCCTGTTTCCATTGTGGCTTCATTCCCTTTTCTTGCTCCCTCGCTCCGCAGTTGCCTCCAGTGTGTGCCGTATGCGTGTCGGGCCATTTGCCAACAACGGTAAAGTTTGTTTTCCCTTTCTCCCTTTTCCTCTTGTTTCCCCCCCCTTTCTCCTGTCCCAGAATCACGCCTTTATCAAACGCTCCGAGATAGAGGAGGTAGATTTTGCTGGCTGGCTCTGCAAGACGCTGCGGTTGAACCAGCCCGGCACGCCCACCCGCACGGCCGTGTGACCGACGAGCAAAACTGCCTTCGAAGACTTAGGGGTTCCCCACAAACACAACGCCCCCCCCTTTCCCCCGCCTCCTTCCTTTCGTGCACCTGCTTCTCGGCTGACCTGCGCCGCCCTTGAACAGAAGAATGGAGAGAACTGCCTGGCCTTCACTTCCTGCCCGCCCACCCTTTGCTCCGGAAAGGAAAGCTAAGACACTGGTTTGAAGAACGAAACAAAGAAAAAAGAAGAAGAGGAGGAAAGGAAAATACACCCAGTCATCTGGCAGCAAAGAAGCAGAAAACGGGCCTGTTCCACTGTGTTCCTCTTTTGTTAGGTTTCATTTCTGCTCCTGAGGGGCCCCAGCTTGGCGTGCTTTCTGGAGCCTTCTGACTGGCGCTTGGGGGTGGGTTGGGTGGCTTACGGGGCCGGCTGCTTCGTGCTCGGCGTCATCTTTTTGGAGCCGTTCATAAGGGTCCCCGGAGCAAAGAGAGTCTGCTTGAGCAAATGGGTTGCTCCTTTAGTAATTTTTTTCCTCCTTTTTTTCTTTCATTTTTGGATGAGCCTGGCTCAGCGGCCGGTGCTGCCGGATAACCTCCAAAAAAAGAAAAGAAAGAAAACCCAGACAAACAAACCTTGCTGCTGGCCAGGAGTTGGAAGTGGCGAGACATCAGCCCTTCTGCTTTATCGGAGAGTTAGCAAGAATATTGTTGAGTTTGGGCCAGGTGCCAGCAGGAAAATGCCTTCTCATGCTGTTTCTCTTTCCCTCCCTTATTGTTATTTTTGAGGGGCCTTTTCCCTTCCCCCCCCAAAGGAAGTTCTCTAATCCTACCTGTCCTCTCAGGTTCGTGGTGGGTCGTGTCACTTGAAGCAAGGCTGTCACTATCTTACACACACACATGGATCAGGCCCTTTGGGCGGCTGTTTAACCTGGCATTTGCTAGAAAGCAAGGCTGGTGTGCATTTGTGAAGATTTTTGAGGCTCTCCCCCTGCCCGTAGCCATCGGCTCCACCGACCGACCTTACACACTTCCCGAGGCTCATGCTTAAAGGTAGACATTGAGGGGGGAAATGGCTCCAAGTGAGAGGTAGACAATCGTCCGGTTTCTGGTCTAACCGCCGAAGGGATAGGAACGCCCCCAGCAGTGCCTCGAGCCACCACCCTCTGGTCACTCTCGGACGTTCGGTCATCACGTCCACAGCAGTACCTCCTGATACGGTTTTGTCACTTCTGTATTCCCTCTTCGAAGGTGACGTGGCTGCCTTTCTCGGTGACCCTCCTGCCTCTGATGACCTGGGCCTCCCTCAAGCCGTCGGCTTTGACACCCTCTCCGGAAGCCCAAGGGGGGAAGCCTGGCCCGAAACCCTTCTCAGCGGGCGTGTGCTTCCCATGGATTGATTTGCACCCAGCTGTTCTGTGGCATTTCCATTTTTTGGACCGGTTTGCTTCCTCGTTGCCTTTTTCTTTTCTTTTCTCCTGCTTCTGATAAATTTAAACTTGTTTTTTTCTCGTTGAGGTTTTTCGAAGCAGGTGGCTTTGGCTGGCCACCAGTCAGAAGGCGGTGTAAGGGAGAATGGGTTAAAATGAAAATGCAGATCCGTGAGTGACGGCTGGTCCTTTTTGAGCTTCCCGTCCCAAGAAACAGCATCTGTGACCCAGTCCCTGCCTGTCTGACTGAACGCAGCGTGGTCGGGGGGGGAAACCCGATGGAGTAACCAAGCTTTTACCATCATCACCCCCCTCTGGATGCTAGTTGCCTCGCTCCTTCTATCTCCTTGCTGCGGCTGCTGGGAATTCTGCTCCTGGTTCTTCTTTGCCATTTGGACAAGAAAATCTACTTTTGTGGAGTGCCTTCCTGGAAGTTTCAAAAAGTTGGGGAGGACCCCCCCCCCCGGTCTTGGGAGCGGCCCTTGCCTTTGTCGGCTGTCGAACCTTAAAACCCCACAGATGTGGCCCAGCTTTTAAGGGCAGGAATGAGCCCCAGGTTCAAGCAGGTTGATCTTTGAATGTCTGCCTGGGCCTTGTGGAGAATCCCCCGCGGGCTTCTTGTTTTCTCTCGAGTCCTGCTTTAAAAACCCCAAAGAAGACCGAACACTTCTCTTTTGTCTTTTTCTTCCCCCAGTCCCGGCCTTTCTTTTCTTCACGCCTGGCAGCCTTCATTCCTACGTTTTGGAGTCGGTGAAATCCGCATCCTGCCACAAAACTTTGAAACAAGGAAGGGTCTGGCAGGTAGAACCTGCTGCTTGCAAACGTTGTGGGCACCTTTGAGGAGAAAACCCCGTCGTGGTTGCAGAATACACGGAAGGGGAGAAGGGGGTCCGTGAGAGAGGTGTTATTCCTCTCCGGTGGCCCCTTTAATGCTGCTGATTATGCTTCAAGTTGTCCCATTTTGGGGGGAAAGAATAATAATAAAACATAATGGGATTGTACTTTTTTAAAAAATAGTTCAAGTGGCTCACCCCACAGATTTGCCATAAAGCAACCTTTGGGGAGGTCTTTATTTTGAATCTGTGGGTTACGCCATTCGAATGGCTGTCTAACCCCCCCCCCCAGCAAAGTTACAGCTGTTTTCGTAGGATCAGCCAAAAGGGAAAAAAGCCAGCACGAGGGGGGAGGGGACCGTGACTTTTTAAAACTCCTCTGAACCCTTTCCTCCTTTGCTTAGCAGCCGAGGGGGGACTGAGAAATATTCCCTGATCTCTGTCGCTGGGAAGAGATTTTTCCCCCCAAAGCCTTCAGTCATATTTTTGAAAGGCGGAAGGACCTTTAAAGACTTGTTGTGAGGAGTGGTTGGGTTTGATGGTCCCATTAACTGCTTTTCCCGACTGTTCCTTAAATCCGTGCACACAAGGGGTTGCATCCAACAGGGAAGGCGGGGGGGGGGAGAAATGAACTCCTCCAGATTTGAATGTAGAATATCTTCAGTGCTTTGAGTTTAAACCTTGTCCACACAACTGTGTGACTTAATTCTCATTTTTTTCTTTTGACCTTAACGCATCTATGAAACCAGTGAGGCTTTAGGCAGGTTTGGGTCGTGTGTGCATTGCGTGTGTGTGTGTGTGTGTTCGGAGGGGGGATGTATTTTATGTTGCGTTGCCTATATTTAAATTTTTAAGAGATTATAGTAAAATGTTCTGTAGTTTAAGAGGGTTTCTCTCACCCCCCTGGATATGTTTTGCGCTCTCTTTTTTTTTTCCTCCCCCCCCTTCCTCTGGTTACCAGGGGGGTGTGCTTAAAAAGAATGTGTTGAGCATTTTGATGGTGCAATTTTTTTTAAAAAAAGAAACTCAATATTTTCATCACGGGGAGATTAAAAAAATAAATAAATGGCACTTTACATTAAAAAGATCTGTGGTTTCTTTCTCTCTTTTTTTAAATATGACTTGTCTCCCACAGAACAGGCCTGATACTTCTGTTTGCAAGCCCAGTTTTATTTGCAAAGCTCTTCCGGCTGCTTTTCCCATTAGTTTTGAGAGCCCGTTTAAAGCCCCAATGCGTGTTACCCTCCTGTTTCTAAAACTGAAAGGAAGGGATCATCCTTCCTGTTTGGTTTCCAGATGTATCATCAGGAAAATGCCTGCCCTTGTAGGGCCTTCTCCAAAGCCAGGTGCTGTTTGTGTGTGTGATGGTTCGGGAGCTTGGTCTCGCTGGGAAGAGCCAGAGACTCGTACAAAGAGACAACATGGAGCCTCAGAGGGCCAACCTCTTCGAGAAGCCGAAGAGCCCGTGCCCAAACTGGCACAGCGGAGCACCACACCCTGCCAGCAAAGGCAGGTGGAGAACTCTCTGGCCTTGAGCTGGGAACAAATCGCACAGAGGTGCAATGGGCAGCCTCTTCTGCAGGTAAGTGGTTTGGGTTGCACAGGATCCTTCATTCTTTCACTGGGGGATTGACCCGAAAGCCTCTCCCCGTTGGGGTTGTAAAAATGTCACCCAGCAGCTGTTCCCTAGGCTGCAGAACACCAACTCGTTTGCTGGTTCTCTGGTTTTTCTCTTCCCTCCTCATCCCTTTTTTCCTCTTGTGCTGTGCCCTTTTTAGATTTTAAGTTAGAGGCTTAGTACAGCCGTGTTCCACGCCAGCCCAACGTGCCTTGACTTGCCTGCGATGTAAAGAAGAAATGTGAATTAAAAAACCTATCAAAGGGAGTGAGGAGGAGTGGTCAGACAACCGGATTTGAACTTGGCCGTCCAGCTGCAAAGCATCAGCGGTGCAGCTTTAGAAATTAGTGCTTCAGGCGTGGCCTCCCAAAATTTTTTGCAACCCAGCATCATTAAAACGTGGCAGCCTAGCTACCACGGCCTGTGATCGGGAATTTTATTCCCCCATTTTTGGACCCAATTTTATAGTGGCTTTTATCAACCTCTCTGGGGTTTTTCTGAAAAAATTTCCTTGTCGGTTTCCGTGCCGTTCTGCTGTGATCTTGGACGCTTGCTTTCCAAGACGGGGAAGAAGCCCTGAATGGCACCGAAAAAATACTTAAATATTTCTTAAATATTGCCATTTTTAATTATGTAAGCCGCCTAGGGTCCTTTTCTAAGGTGAAAGTTGGAGGGAAAATATAAATAAATACACAGAGCCAGAGGTTTGTAAACTCCTTGGGGCAGAGACTGGCACGAGTTGCTTACATGATAATGCTTGAGGGGGGGGTTAGCAAATTTTCGTCAGTCCGACTGTATTTCTGCCAGTTTCATGGGGTTTTTGTCTGGCCAACGATCAATATAACTTAATTGGTGGGCCTGCTTTACTGCCACAGTGAGAAATGCTGGCAATGAATAGCCGTAGCTGTGGCCATGGAAAATAAATAATACATCGCCTTTCCTCGGACAGGCCACATAAAATTCCTGAAATTTTTTTATTGGAGGAAATGGCCTTAATAAAAAAAAACTGCCTGGGTTCGCCTTTTCTGCCTCTGATGCCTTACCTGACCTTCAACAACCTCGCTCTGACTGCCTAATGCATAAGAATAAAGTTAAATAAAATAAATACATTTATTTGTTGAGCAAATAAAAATAAATATGATCAATAGATTTATAATATAAGAATAATGAGGGAGACTGTTTACCTGCCTTGCCAGACGCGGGAATATTACAGGACGAAAGCATTCTGCGTGCAAAGTAATTCATGAAGCCTTGAAGTAACTGGACTCTTGTTATTTTTAAGGCATCCTTTCTGCCATTTAATGAAGGTGTAATTAAGTTGCGTTGCAGATGTTAACCTGCAAGAAAGAACAGCACTCCTTTTGCAATATACTGTATAATGGTAACTTTTTAGTTACTCACTGTAGATCAGGGAGTGACCGTTCTGGGTAGCAGAGGGAGGAAAGAATCACATAGTTAAAAGTGCCTGTTTGTTTTATCCTCTAAAGATGGAGAAAAATCCGTTTTCGTTTGCTGACCGATTGATTCACCTAGACTCCAAACGCTTGGATTCTTTAAAATCTTGATGTTAAGGTCTGTACATTCAATTGGGCTGGATTTTTATATTTCCTGATAAGCTTCACATTCACTGTAGTTTTTAATCTTTTTTAAACATAATGAGAATAACAATATTTTATTCAAAGCATTTGTAATTTTATTATTATAAATACCAGGTATAGTCAATCAA